CGACCAATATTATTAATGATAAAGTTGTTTTGCTTAGATCGCGTAAATGTTAATTTGTTGTAAACCCACCTCCACCCGAAGTCAATTAGTAAGGGTTGTCACGTGAACCAAACGTGCCAATTAGTTACTTCAGCGCGTAATTATAGCAATCGCCTGATATGCTGTTGTAATCACCAGCGAAATGTCGTTAACTCAAATTGTAAATGTTGTGGGTTTGGTCTCCAACACACCGGTGTGCTGAAGTATTAACTATTAACGTTTTGTTCACTTGACAAACCTTACTAATTGGCTGTGTCGGTGTAGGTGGGTTTACGACACTTTTACATATATTCGATGGAACCCAAAAAACGGTATCACGACTAAAGGCAATGACTCTCACTGAACGCCTGCAATCAATAGCAGGATGCAAACATCAGGTCACGATAATAGAAACAACTGCACTGCAATTTTCCGAGTAGATACTTGCCTTGTTATGAACGACTGATTGAGAGGGAAGGGATATTGGACCAATTAAATTTAGAATTTGTTTCCACGTTTTTGCGGAATTCCAAACGTTAGCCGGAAATCCGGCACCAGCAGACGCATCTCGTTCGCGAAGCGAGGAGGGAGGCTGTGCAGCCCGGTCCGACAAGACTCCCTCCCCCCCGCTGTAGAATCGCGCCGTGGGAAGGCTCAGTAGGAAAAGGTTCCTAATGATGGGTCGAGACACCCTCGTCCAGAATCCGCAATGCAAAATCATCACTGGCGTGGCTGTGCAGCATTTACACACACACAGAGACGATCAATAAACCGACGATTCGCCGCCTCCACGTGTCTGTGCCTTCACATACAATGTAAAAGCAATGATAACACATCCCATAAACCACACCTCCGATTAGCACGGTTGGCTATGTACGGTGCGAAAGAAGTTCAACATACATAAACGGTCTCCTTGGGAGTGCATAATTTAATCAGTATTGGTTCAACGCAAGCAGACTCAATTGCCAAGTCAGGCTTGCTTGAACCAATGCCGGCGAACTGTCAGATGGTTATAGCCAAGGGTCTCCTCTCTCTGTTCGATATGGGGTAGAGTTCGATGCAAAACTCTATAACACACAAAACTAAATAATCATTCATTTGCAGAATGAAGCGTGGAGCAGAGTGAAAGACAGGGCCAGCGCTACGCTTCAGAAGGTTGTCTTGCACAAGTGATCTGAGCCCATCCCACCAGGACCGTGTCAGCCCCAGAGGCCATGCTGATGAACACTCCTCTGGATTAAACCTGCACAGGGGCTCCTCGCCGTCTGGCGAGCGCCTGTGTGGTGGCCACACTGGTGACGCAGATACAACCTCTCGCGGGAGGGCAGAACTGCCTGCGGTTCAAAATTAAACCAGTTGCATCGCTGGGTCACGCATGTACCGTATGTATGTTGAACTTATTTCCCACTGTATGTAGCCTCCCGTGCTAATCGGAGGTGCGGGGAAAAGCCAGACGTGCCCCATAGCGAGACGTGCCCCAATAGTGAGATGCGCACCAGTGGCTACAGCGAGGATAATGGGAGCATGGGCACCCACTGCCAGGGCCCTACAGAGGTGGTGGTGGGGTGGAAGGGTTGGGCAAAAAGGGACAATTTGTCCTGGGCGTCACAACGGACCTTCTTATTTTGTCGCTAATTAATAAAGCTGCCCAACGTGACCTTCTACCCACAGAGTCTCCAGCTCCGGTGCCTCCAGGGACCGATGGGTGACCTTGGCCGCACCAGCACGGAGCGGAGTTGTTTTGTTGGTGTCGGTTCTCACGCGACTCCCGCCCCTCCTCGCCAGGACGCCCGGCGATCCGGCCCGCGCGCGGCGCTGCTGCTGCTGCCGCTGCTGTTCTTCACCACTCGTTTGGTCTCGTGTCACCGCGCCCGCCTGACTTTCAACGCACTTTCTTTTTTTATTCGCAAACGTTCTCGCAGTTAACATTCAAGGTTATGCACATTGCAAGCCCAGGTGTGTATGTTTCCTAGAACTCACATGTAGAGGTTGCACAATGATTGAGCTTCCTAAGTTGTGCCCTTGCCGCTGCTTGTTTGTGGTTTATTTATTAGCCAGGCAAGCCCAGGAACCCGGAGCACGTTTTGCTCCCCACAGCCCAGGTTGTTGTGGCCTAACCGTGCCCTTGGCTCTGGGAATCTCGTGCAGAGAAAATACTAAAGTGTTCAGATTGGCAATCGCTATGGCGGAATTTTACAAAAACAGGACAACGTCAAACCCCACTTTAATCTGGGCCAAATAGTTTAGAGTTGCAAAGGCAATTGAGATAAAGATGTTCAGTTTTATACGTAGGCATCTACGGGCAATATGATTTTTTACTAATATATTTTGGGTTGGATTGTCGTGTAGTGTGTATAATATCAATGCCTTAACTATAACCCCCGACAAAGCCAATCAAATTAGGTCATGTCATGGGTCAAATATGCCAATTGATTTGGTTTATTAGCAAAGCCGGAGGAGGAATGTTGAAAAGTCCAAGCAATATCGTGACGTTCGTCGACGTTTCGCTGGAGATTACATTCAGCATTGTCAGTTGTCAACGATTTGCTTGCTTTGCAACATTCCTCAAATTAGCCGAATAACCAATGCAACATTTTCTCCCATGTGACAACTTGATTGGATTGGTTTTGTCGGGTGGTGGAGGGATATACTAAAACCACTGAGATAATACCGACACAATTATCACGTGAACTCCGGTCATCCTCGCAGCAGCAGCAGCAGCAGCTTTTGGATGGCCATCAAACAAAGACGGTCACTGAATCTAACTCATTCCTTTAGAACTGTTTTTAGTGTTTAGTTTGTTATTCTCCCGCACCTTCGATAAATTAGCACTGTTGGCTATGTGTAGTGCGAAAGAAGTTCAACATACAAATATACACTTTAACCCAAGAGAAACTAACCATGAATCGGTGTTGCTCAGATAACGTTAAGGCTCTCAAGTAAACACGAGCTGAAGGTGACGTGAGCTCACGAGGCGACACCAATGCAATTGGTGGAGGCGTAGTCACCAGCTGGTGCGTACGAAAGCACTGTACTGGCCCACTTCTGAACGAGGCCGAAATTCTCTGCGCGGTGACGACGGTGGACGGGAGTGCGAGCCGCAGGTGAGAGGAGCCGACGACTGAGAGAGGACGGCGGAGTGAATGCGGCACCGCTGACAGGAGCGAGAAAGTTCACAGCCAGCAGGAGACCTGACGACAGTGAGCGTCATTTCCAACGACACATACGAGGAGCGCTAACAGTGCAGGGGGCCAGAAGAGGAGCGCGAATGAGACGAACATCTGTGGAAAAAGAGCGACATAACTAATCGGATTCCTTCACTCCAAATAAAAATTCTGATTTCGAGCTACGGAGCGGTAGACAAATGGAGGGGGAGGGGAGCACGCACAGGAAGACGTCCACAGCAGAGGAGCGACCACATCGACTCTTGTGCAGGTGCTCAGATCGGTTGTTCAGAATCAGAATATTTACGTATACTTGAGGAATCTGATGAGCAATAAAACTCTTTTTGACTGATGCCCAGGAGGTTGTTGTATCGGTGGGCCGTGACAGATGGCGACGGTTTGAGGAGACATTTCATCCAGCAGCGGATGAAACGTGGATGCTGTTGCTGCTGATTGCGCTCCAGCTGCAGGACACACCCCGTGGCGAGGTTGGCTTGCTGGGCGACAGCCCACACGCACCTCCTCCTACCGCGTTGCCCACTGTCCCCCACCCACCGACAGCACGCCTCCTGCGCCCACGCCTCGCGCGCTGCCAGCTCGCATATAAAGAGGGACCCCCCCATCTCGGGTACCCATCACACGCCAACGTCGTCGGTGAGATGCACGCGCTTCCCAAGACGTGGACACAGGTGCACGCGGGGCTCGCACGGGGTTCGTGATAACACGGGGGTTGTGATGACACGGGGGTCGTGATAATGTAGTGACATCACGGATGTCACTGTGTAATGCCGGCTATGGAGAGGCACGGCGTGCGATCTATAGACATCGCGGGCACCACGTGTATGTGGGTGCAGTACCGGCCCGAGAGGGGCTCGGTGAGCGCTGACTGACAGTGCTGGATGGCACCACGTTCTGCGTGCAGTGCCGACCCCTACAGGATAGGATGTGAGAGTGTCGGCCACAGGGAATGGGGTTACTATAGGCCGTGGCACTCTGGTTGACCCCAGAGGACACGTGACTGGTTAAGTCTACACAGGGCCCCCAGGTGGGGGCTAGGGGTGGTCACGTGTCAGGTTCGAGATCCTGCTCGAGGATTCCAGAAGGTGGTCGTGGCTAAGGGCGGAGCCAGCCACGCCACAGAGGATATAAGCCGGCTCCCCGAGAGGGACCGGCTGCTGTTGTTCATCCTGAAGAATCTAAGTTCTATGTTCTATGAGTCTCCAACACGTGGACCAGGACCCAAGCTGTGGTCCGGTCCGTTGTAGCTAGTTACGGTGTAATTAGCGCAGTTAGCCTGGTGGTCACCATAGGTTAAGGGGTAGTTACCCCTTATGTTGGTATTAATATATGTGTTGCCTCCAAAGAGTACATCTGCGACTCAGTTGAACTTGCTACAATAACAAGGGGGTCATAATAACACAGGGGCATGATAACACGGGGGTCATGATGGATATTGAACTTCTTTCATACCGTACGTAGGCAACAGTGCTAAACGGAGGTGCAGGACACAGTAGTGATAATGTTTGGCAACAGAAGAGTGGGTTAGAAACGTTCAGCCACAAATGGGTAATATCCATCCGATGTGACATTTGGTGGCAATGTATTGCCTTCGTTTACCATGAACGCCTCCTTGAGTGTTCCAAGATGTGGACAAAAAAATCATTACAGTTTTGTTTATTTTTTTAACTTGAGGCAGTGAAAATTTTATATATGTCCTGTTTGTGCGTGTGATATGATGCCAACATATGCATCTCATGGATAGTGGAAATTACACATCAAAGTATCGTTTTCAATCTAGTTTTTAAGTTTTTCACTTTCGGAAAACGAATAGATATTTTTCAGTATCGCAAAACAATATTGTTTCTGTTTTGTTGTATAGATCGCGTGTTATATACTGGATACTATAGCAAAACACTGAGCATTTCATAATTTACGCATGAGTTTTCATTTCTAATTCACAGCTGAAGTGAAGAGTGGTTGTAGCATAGAGTATGATCACCACCTCAGTACTCATTTGAGGATGAAATCACAGACTATTTTGTGAGTTTTATTATTCTGATTTGTAATTGATTTTTTTACGTTAGGTTCACGCAATGGTCTGGCTAAATTGGTGTCATGCAACCCTTCACCACCGGACACAGCCATACAAAAGTTCAGGTGTTTGGCAATTTTTTTACCTACGTGACTTTACCGAAAAAACCTAAGGATATTTAACAACGTGCCAAATGCGATTCTGTCAGCTAGCTCACCGGTAAAGTTCAAGAGGTATTCTCACAATCAAACTTATCAGTGATTAGATACGGGACCTTCCATTTGAAACTGCTACAATACTCCTCAGATTATAAACGTCGCGGTGGCGAGATGTTAACTATCTCGCCTGGTATACAGGAGGTCGTGAGTTCGATCCAGACCCTGACGCCTCTATATTTGGAGTTTGTGTGTCTCTCTCCCCGTGATTGTGTGGATTTTTCTCCGGGTTCTCCGGTTTTTTCCCTCCACATTTAGAAACATGGTTTCGAGCATTTGGCTGCGATACATTTCCACACCATAAGCCACTTTGTTGGGCTATCATTTGTGGCCAGGTCGCTTCTGGAAAAGAGCTGTGTACATCAATGGGCCTTACCTGGTAAAATAAAAATAATAAACCATTTCGGATCTTAACTGATTGTGTTCACGTTTACGGTGACTTTCAGACCGCAGTCCACTCACTGGCATTGACTATATATCTTTGTATTCTCCGCAGAGAATGGAGTCTTTGCTCCGCTGCAAGTCTCCTTTCACCACTCTCCCATTGACATATTTCGTTGCTTCCTCTTAGTACCTTTCACGCGACGGTCAATGGTATAGTGTATAGCAGATTGTATAATAATAAATAGTATAAAAGTGTAATGTTTAATATAATGTATAAGGTAATATTTAGTATCGTAATTGTATAGTGAATATACAGCAGTGTGGTATACAGTAGGGTGGGTAGAATAATACATAGTGTTATATTACAATGTATAGTCTAAGGTATAGGGTCGTGTATAGTAATGCAGTATATAATTTAATGTTTGGGTTTGTCTATGGCAGTATATAGTACAGGGTAGATCCGTGTGATGTAAGGAAAAAGTTTAGCTGGAGGCATATTATATTTATTGCGACATAGAATTGTAATGTATGACTTACTGTTAATAGCTCAGCTTATTGGAGAGTATATTTAGTATATTGATGATATTGATGTAGTTTATATTTTAGTTTTTTACGTGGTGGTTTGGCTGCTGCAGCTCCTTACTATTAAAATTCCTTCTCTTTATTACTGCTAACCCTACTTCCTCCCTTTGTTGCTGCTAATCCTACATAATGCACGGGCATAATATGACTTTGAGACCCCTCCCCCCACCTCCTACGCATTCCACAAGTAGTGACTAATCCCATATCTGCATTTTCCATAAATATGCTAAATTCCTCTGTTGATATGCAATTTCCTTTGTCAAGGCGCCCTTCCTCCTCTAACCCAGCTTAAATATACGCTGCCAAGCTTGGTGGTGTTCATTCAGATGCTGTTTTTCTGACAGACCTGTTCTTCACCTGAGGACGGCTGCTTGCGTTGTGGCCGAAACGTCGTGAGAATTGTATTTTATAATGTTTTATTTTTATTATTTTATTATTTCCCTTCTACGTGACTTTACCGAAAGAACCAAGAATAAAAATCTAAATAGTTTATAGTTTTAATAATCAACAGTTTATTAAACCAAGGAGGTCAGAATGGTCTTTTTGAACGATTATGTTGCATGGTATTTGCTAACAGATGCTCCCTCCGATGGCGATGTGGTTGGCGTCCTGCACCCTGGCGCTGATGGTGGTGGCGACGCACGGAGGCGGGAAGGCGGAGGAGCACTGCCGGTGCGGTTGCCCCGGAGCTCCGGGCAGCCCAGGGCAGCCCGGCCTCCCGGGGCGCGATGGACAACATGGCGTCCACGGGCAGAATGGAGAGAAGGGAGCAGCAGGTTTATTATTATTCATATCGCATATTTACCCACATCGAGTCCGAAAACTCATTTTTAAGGAGAGTAAAACCATAATCTTTCTTTTTCCAGCCCACTGAACTCTATACCGTAGCTGTTTTCTTTCAGAATCGACCTGGTCACAAATTATAGTTCAACTGCGTTGTTTATTGCGTGGACGTTTATAGCAGCAGAGTGCTGCTATCACTGGAAGTTTGGTCAACACCAAAGCAAATTCGTGCAGATGTTTAGCTTTGGTAAGAAACCGGAAAACCCGAAGAAAATCCATCCGGAACTGGGGGAGAACATACAAACTGCAAACAGAAAGCGGCCCGCTTTTATCTGCAAGTGGACTCGCCCTAGCCTGCTGAATGAGTTAAATGTTTCTCTGCCTCCATTTTTCGGCTTTCCATTTCAGACTTGATTTGGAGCTTTTGTGACTGCAGGAATTACTCTTTGGTTCTTTCGGTAAAGTCATGTAGAAAGAAAATGTAACACAAGCAATCATCATCAGGTACAAATGGAAGAGAAAACAAACCTAGTAAACTTAGAAATATAATGCAATACAACACAGAGAGTCGGCTAACATAACAGTCAACACCCTACCTGGTTGATTACCTTCTTCCAAAGATTGCTAAATTTTTGAGAGAGACGAAGCACAGACACGGAGACACATAGACAGACACATACGCAGAGAGATATAACACAGAGACACAGAGAGAGAGACACACACACATAGGTACACAGAGAAACAACGTCTCTGTGTCGAGGCCTTAAATAGAGAGCGAGAGGGGCAGACAGAGAGCGGGGGGGGGGGGGGGGGGGGTAGAGAAATTAGCATTTCAATGAGATATTTGGAGCTTTCGTGACTGCAGGAAATACTACAACAGCGAGGACACACACATTAGCAAAATTTGGAAATGTAATGCAATGCAACACAGAGAGTTGGTCAACACACAATTAACGCATAGCCTGGTTGATTACATTCTTCAAAAGATTGCTACATTAGAAGTTAAGTGTGAAATTGGAGAGAGAGACAAGACACAGACACGGAGACACAAAGACAGACACACAAGCAGTTTATTGGGTTGCCCTCTTTGCATCTCGGGAAACCGTGGGACTTTCCTCATAGGGACCCTTCGGATTAAACCCCGTGTGCCAAGCAATCCCACGCCAGGACACTACATGTGTGCGCTGCATGTGTGTACTCAGTGTGGGGGCCGGGGAGGGGGGTGCTCGCGGCGCTTGCAGAGTGGCATCGAGGCCGTGGCACCACAAAATCACCGACTGCATTGATATTCGTTGTGTAAATGCGTGACTATGTAAGTCAAGGATTTAACGTGTGTATGTACACGTGTCGTGACTCTATTGCTATGCACACTTGTCACTCGACGCCCTGGAGATATGATCGATCCCAAGTGGTCACCGAGGTGACATGTTGTAATCGCTGTGAAATAAATTGTCGAGCAATTCACAGTGAAATGCTGGAATCGCCACACCCGTGATTCTGAACGTTCCTCAATAGGAAACGCCTATCACAGGCGACGTTTCGGACAATGACCTTCATTCACTACAGCACATAGAGAGGCCAGAGAGGTGACATGTCTGCTGGAATGTCGCCTGTAGTGATGGACTGGGACTAAAAATCGGCCCAGGCATTTGTTAACACACCTGGCCCAAATTGCCGTGCTATCTCATTTGGCCCATTTGGGCTGCCAAAGATGGGACTTAATGCCAACTGAGAGCATTAAAAAAGAGCAATGAAGCGTAAACAGAGGTCAAATGTTTAAGAATATTTGTATCTATATTTTTTTTTTACTCTCATATTTGCAATTTCCCCACACAGACCGGCCCACCAGCCCTCGGAATGGACCGGCCCCACTGGGCATTTATCCAGACTGCCCTAGGGCCAGTCCGAACCTGGTCACCTATGATGTATCTGAAATAATCTTGACTTCTTAAATATAACACAATCGTGCGTGAGTCATTATAATAATTGTCATCTCAATTCGTGTTTTTTCTTAATTGTTGTTTAACAACAGGACCCGTCGGCCCGATCGGTCTTCCTGGCACCAAAGGGGAACGCGGACCGACAGCCGAAAAGGCATCGAAGGACGATGGCGTTGTCCTCGGCCTGAGGTCGGCCTTCACCATCGGCCTGGCTGCGTCCGCCAACCCCGCGAGCGGCGCGCCCCTCAAGTTCACCAAGGTCGCGTACAACGACCAGGGCCACTACGACGTGTCCACCGGCAAGTTCACGTGCGTCGTCCCCGGGGTCTACTACTTTGACTTCCACCTGACGGGCGGCACTGGGGCGAGCCGCTTCTCCCTGCGGCACAACGGGAACGCCGTCCAGTTCAAGTCCGCCACTGGCACTGGCGCCTCGACCACGGGGACGGCGACGGCGGCCACCATGTACTCGTTGGCGGGCGGCTCCGTGCTGCGCCTACGGAAGGGAGACTCCTGTGTGGCTCCAGGCGGAGACTGGGCACAGCAAGCTGGCGGCGGAGACTCAGGCCGACACCACCTTCTCCGGCTTCCTGCTGTACCCCGACCTGCCGAAATAATAATAATTCACAGTTCTATATTTGAGCACAATTGGTAGTGATGGGATTCGCGTTGGTTTGGTTCTGCTAGGGTTTGGATGGCAGTCGCGTTAGTTTAGACGACGATGAGTTCAGAATGTGATTTACGCTGTCTGCTCGTCACTAAAACTACACTTTGCCGCTGCCAGGAACTGATCCGCCAGGGTGGCTCCAGGATAGTGGCTCGCAAATTGCAGTTCTCAGCCCGTCATACCCTCTTCATCCCTCAGGGGTCAATCAAAATGAGTACTGCTTTAGTAGTAAATTTAACAGTGGTTGTCCTATGCATAGAATCGCCCTCGCCACAGGAACGAGGAATTTGCACAACTTGCTCAGGGCTCCGCCTCAGTGCTCACTCCAGCACGGAATCGCTTTAATTGTTTGTTATTTTAGAATAAACCAGAATTTGAACGAGGTGGTTGTGCAATGCGCCCGGTGGGTGTTGTGGGAAGAGAGGGAGAGGGGAGGAGCGACTCCTGTGGCCGGGGCTCATGGTTCGACCCCAGGTTGGAGGGACCTGGCCGAGAGAGCGAAAGCGCCTGACGCGTGCAGAGCAGGGACTGCGTGCAGACATCTCTGCCGCTACGCCACGCGGTTTCGTGCCCGGACGAACCGATCTTCTCGATCATCGTTGTCGTCCCCCTCGTGAGTGTCCACCACTCGACCCAGCCGGTCCACCCGTCTCTTATGGGAGTCACACAAACGCGTCTTCCGAAAGGGACCTTTGTTCAAAAGCAGGAGCAATGTTTACGACGTGCAATTGCCCCAGTGCAACGCACAAACCGTCTTCATCGTCATTGTCAGCAATGATAGACCCGATGCTGGGCGAAGGTCTCTCCAGACTGGTACCACCACCCATTACCTGCTGAGGTGCGTAAACATCGCTACTAGGAAGATAAAGGCGGCCGGGCGTGGTTCTGGCCACCCACCCCCTCGTGTGCCATGCCGGCCTTCATAGGTGTTCGCTAACAGCACTTTCCCAAAAAGTCAGTGCAAGGCGATACGAGACATTTTGTCCTTGTCATGGACGAATATATTTTCATTGGTGATGTAAACAACACCTGGTACCTTGTACATTCACAAACCACTTTGGTTTTATTAAAATACAAAATATCATAGTCATCGTGTTCACGCACGCGGGTCCCGTACGTCACACGGGGCAAGTTGGTCCCATACGTCACACGGGGCACACTGGTCCCGTCCGTCATACTGGGCACGTGGGTCCCGTACGTCACGCCGGACACGCGGGTCCCGTACATCACACTGGCCTTGGAGTCCACGGCGTCGCGATCCTTTGCTCGCTAACGCGCCCAGTTCTACTATGTCCTTGCGCGTGATGGCAGCAGCACTATGTTCAGGAGCTGGATGCCCATTGTCGAGATCTGCTACTCGCCACGACTAGAGGGCTTCAGCAGAGAGAGTTCGTCTAGTTTTAGTGTTCCTCCTCGTCTTCTATTGAAGGAGCGCAGACCATAGTGGTTTGTAATATGGTTTGTGTTGCATGGCCACAATCACACTTCTGTAGTTCGTCTTTAATGTATCTCTATGCGTCTATATGTGTTGTTAAGTATCTGTTTCTACAGGTTTACTCTACAGTCTATAGTTTGGGTTACACAGCCACAATCACACTATTGTGGCTTGTTTTTAAAGTATCTCTACGGGTATCTATGTATCTCTGTTTATCTCTATGGGTCTCTATTAGATTTACTATACGGTGCACAGTTTGAGTTTGCATGGCTACAATCGCACTCCTGTGCCTTGTGTCATCAATTTTCCATTCACGATGAAACGCGACATCTTATTTACATAATGCACGCGTCTATATATCGACACGAAGCTCCATGCCAGCCAGCATCATTCGTTAATGATGGTTTACGTGGACTCCGGCTAGGAAGTGACATCAAAGTTTTGCTGGGGTGTGTGGGTTGGGTCTGAGTGGGTTGGGTGTGAGTCTGGGTGTGAGTCTGTGTGTGAGCCTGGACTGGAAGTGAGTCTGAGCTGGATGTGAGTCTGAGCTGGGTGTGAGTCTGGGTGTGAGTCTAAGCTAGATGTGAGTCTGAGCTGGGTGTGAGTCTGGACGTGAGTTTGGGCGTGAGTCTGCAAGTGAGTCTGGGCTGGGCGTGAGTCTGGACGTGAGTTTGGGTGTGAGTCTGACTGGCCGTGCCAGTCCCTGGATCTCACGCGGGTGTTGAATTATTTGTCAGGCAGTCACCGTGAGGTGCTCGTCTTCACTTGTGTTCTTGAGCCAGTGGTTAAAATTCCACATTCCTATGGCAAGGATTAGCGTCTTAACACAATAAACCATGTTTGCACCCTCACTAGGTGGGACTAATTTTATCCACCCTACAAAGAAGAATCTGATGGAATCTCTCGACCCCACAGTAAAATGTTCACTTACTTTCCCCTTGATAAATCCAATGGTGGACAAAGGCCGTGTCTCATTGTGGATTTATTTTTACCATACTTCTCCACGCTGGTCAATGCGGGTGTGGCGAAGAGCGGAGCTGGTAGTGTCGCTCCTGATACCTCTCGCCGCCGACATTAGCCGAGGTCGGGATTAGAACTCGGCTTACGGGCTTTGTTGTTGGAGCACGTGTGCGCCAATGGCCATGCCGCTGCTCCCTTGAGCCACTCAGCCGGGAACTCCGTGTGCCGCCGCACGCCCGCTGAGCCCGCTCGGCCCGCGTCGCTCACGATCCGCTCGGTGCGGCAGTCCGCCCGGCGCGCAACTTGCGCAGATAGCTGCGCAGCTTGCACAGCCGGCAGTAGGCGGCGGTGGCTGCCAGCGATCGACCCCCTGCTGCTGCTGCTCCTGCTCCTGAGAAGACACCGCTACCACTGCCACCACCGGGCTGCCCCTCTCCACGTCTCCGTGCTCCTCCGTCACGCGGCAGCAGCCAGGGCCCCCAAACGCCGCCCTGCAGCGCCGGGTGGGCGCGCGAGTCATCGGCAGGGAAGCGCACGGGGACGGCGCCGCGCGCGTACTCCGCCAGCCGGCCCAGCAGGTGCCGCACCACGTCCGGGTGCCGCGCCGAAACGTCGTAGCGCTCGAAGGGGTCGGCCGACAGGTTGAATAGCCACAGCGTCTGCGGCTCCGCGACGCCCCCCCTGCCTCCACCTACGCCGCCTCCTCCGCCGCTGCTCCACGCCGGTGCGGCGCGCTCCAGGGCCCACCAGCTCCCGCGGAATGCCGGCCACGTCTGCGGCGGCACCCAGTCGCCGTAGCCTGGGTCGCCCGTCAGAATTTTCCAGTCTCCCTGGCGCAGCGCCGCCTGCCGCCCGAGATGGAGAGGGCCCCGGGTTTGTACAGAGGTCACGTGAAAGAGGGGAGGGGGTATCAGAAGTAGCTCTGTGATATCCGCATCCATGCACCGTTCACCTAACGTGAAGAGGATTTGCCTTTCACTTCGAGAGATCGGACTGCCTGGTCACCTGACTGACGAAACGGCTGACCGCCTTATTAACCTACTTACTGACTAACCAGGTAATCACCTGACTAACTTACTGATTAAACTAGCTAGCCACCGCATCCATGCACCGTTCACCTAACATGAAGAGGATTTGCCTTTCACTTCGAGAGATCGGACTGCCTGGTCACCTGACTGACGAAATGGCTGACCGCCTTATTAACCTACTTACTGACTAACCAGGTAATCACCTGACTAACTTACTGATTAAACTAGCTAGCCACCTTACTGACTTGCTGACTAACCAGCTACCCCCCCTTACAAACTAAATTACTAACTAACCAGCTAACCACTTTACTAACCAACCGACTGATAATATGACTATAAAACCATTGGCCACCTCGCCGACCAACATCCTGACCCACACACCCACTCACCCATCCACCCACCCACGCGCCCACTCACCTGTCCACCCATCGGCTCACCCCCCTGCCCACACGCCCTTTCACTCGCTCACCCAGCCACCCACTCACCTGTCTGCCCACCCGCCTACCCGCTTACCCCACCCGGCTGGTGTCCCACGGACCCTCACCTGCACGCCCGTGTTCCAGAGGCCGTGTCCGGCGGCGCGCGACCCCCCACGGGCGCGGTTGTACAGGGGGTCGATGTTATGCAGGATCTCGGTGCGGGGGGACGGGGCCCCCTCGCTCAAGGCCCGCCACACGTCGTGCCCATCCAGCGCGGGGCTGGCGGGGTCGGCAGTGGTTGTGTCTGCGCCTGCCCCCGCGAGCGCGAGGAGCGTGGGGAACCAGTCGGAGACGTGGACGAGCGCGCGGCTCACGCGCCCCTTGAGACGCAGCAGAGGGCTGTGCACGAAGCCCAGGGCTCGCACGCCGCCCTCCCAATACGTGCCCTGTGGGGGGGCCGGGGAGGCAGGGGGCACAGACAGAGAGCGACAACCACAATACACCCACCACCAACGCACACCGTGTAGCCTACGCAGCCTGTGGGACGGGTGCTGTTGGTGAGTGGTACTGATGTGTTGGACGCATGTCCATCTGTGTCTCAGGGGAGCGGTGGTGCAGTGGTTAGCGCGTTTCGCTACGAACCCGGCGGCCCGAGTTTGATTCCCGCTCATGGCTAACACCAGCGATGATTATCTGAACTGATCCTGGGACTCCCCCTAGGTTGACTCAGACTCAAATGAGTACCTAGTGCGGTGTGTAAAATTGCCACTAGGGAGACAAATGTTGGCGGGCGTGGTGCTGGCCACCCACCCCCTCGTGTGCCGTGCCGGCCTTCATAGGTGCTCGCTAACAGCACTTGCCCCAACAGTTTGTTAAGGCTTTCCGGGGGATCTTCGTCCTTGTGTGCGGTCGTCTAGCGATCAGCGCGCTGTGTGGTGCCACGGCCTCGGAGCAACTCTGCAAGCACCGCGACTCCCCCCTGGCCCCCACACTGAGCACACACACGCAGCGGGTAGTGTCCTGGCAGGGGATTGTCTGGCACAACAGGTTTTAATCCGAAGGGTCCCTAGGAGGAAAGTCCCACAGTTTCCCGGTGCCAGGAGATTGGCCGACCCTCGCAGGACAGGTCACATTGCGGTGCCCCTGAGTTGGCTTAAAATTGCATGGGTGCAAAAAGGTTCACCCATTCCCTGCCATCCTGCCTTCTCGAGCCGCTCGCAGCATCCGTGCGACACTAGCGAGTGCCGCCGCGAGGCAGTGATAGGTAAAGATCTCATTCGTCCTCCCTCAGATTCTCACAGCGTCCGTGCAATGCCGTGAGTACAGCTGCAAGGTACGTGATAGGGCATCTGAGTATCTGGGGACTTGGGCAGCAGTAGGCTAGGCTCTGCTCGCAGAATATTCCCTCCGGGCAGTGCGGGGTTTGCGCCACAATAAAAGTTAGTACAGAGCATAGGCATGGTGTCTGTGATTCCTGTGTGGAGCGACTGCGTGGGCGAACGCGTGGCGAGAATGAGGGCGCATTGGGGGACTCGCTTGCAGGTGTAAGTAGGCCTCGGCAAGGTAAGGTAATTTACTCTTTTTACCGGGTAAAGAGGGTAAAGGTAAAGGGTAAAGGTGTCGACATGCCAAGGGGTAAGGTAAAGGGGAGGGTAAAGGTAGCTCGGAAGAATTACCCAGTAGGGTAAAGGAAGTGCGAAGTGTTACCCGGTAAATACGGTGCCTTGTTTACTGCTAAAAGCTCCGTGGCACAATCCGTGGCCTCCATTTAATAAGTAATATAAAAACAAACTTTTTTAAAAACACGCTTTTATTAAATGTACTGTACTCGTAATGGCAGAACTCCACGACTCCAGGAAGTGGCCCCGAAGCTTGCCATGACGTAAGGTACCGTGGCCAATTACAGCCAACGTCAGTTGAGCGTGGACAGTTAGACCCAAGCCGAAACATAACATATACAAAATAATGTTTAAAAATAAATATTTTTATGATAGAATATAATATTGTCATCAGTATGACATACGTATACCAAGTTTGAAGTCGATACCACATTGGGAAGTTTTGAGGATACAACAACGACAACGACGACAAGCGTGTAAAATTGGAATAATCGATAGTATTCTATATGAATAAAGCGCTCTACCTTATAGCATTTACCGTTATAAACCGTGTTCATGTGTAGTAGTTCCCCAGTAATCACCATGTGTAGTAGTACCCCAGTAATTACCCTGTAATCGGGTAATTTGTATGGGGTAAGGGTAAAAGGTAGGGTAAAGGTAGGCTCGTTGTTTTTTTACCTTTTACCTTACCTGCTAAAGGGTAAAAGGTAGGGTAGAGTGATTGTATTGTGGTAAGGTAAAAGGTAGGGTAAAGGTAGGCTCGTTGTTTTTACCATTTACCTTTAACCTTACCTTGCCGAGGCCTAGGTGTAAGAGCGAGCGTGCCACTGTGTGCTGTGTTAGCGATAGCTGTGCTGTGTTAGCGATAGCTGCGGTGTGCGCGGGTGTGTGGGTTAACTCCGTGCGGCGGTGAGCCAGCAGTACAGCTATGTTCCTCATAGAGGGCGCTAGCGTGGGGGCCCCAATCACTCGGTCGGCGGGGGCCCGGTGGGAGCTGACCGCCGCGGTGGAGGAGGGAGCAGAATGGGCGGCCGTCGCGCCCCACCTGCCTAGCGAGGGCGGTGGGGTGGACGTCGGGCCCCACAGCTGCGCTACGACCCCAGCGACCCGAGTTCAATTCCCGCTCACGGCTAACACCAGTTAACGATTATCTGAACAGGTCCTGGGTATTCCCTCGGTCGACTGAGTATCTGGTGCGGTATGTAAAAATCGCTACTCGGGATACAAAGGCTTCCGGGCGTGGTGCTGGCCACCCACCTATTCATGTGCCGTGTCGGCCTTCATAGGGTCTCGCTAACAGCACTTGCCCCAATAGTTTGTTCAGGTTATATGGGAGGGATCTTTGTGTGTGTAAGTGTGTGGCAGGTGCTATGGCACCTGGATCTGTCCTGTAACCTCCTGTCAGCGAGTCTTCGACACTTCACGTGGCCTCAAAGTGCACCTGATCTGGCACAGGCGCCACTAACTGATGGCAACGTCACTTCGTGGCGAATGGCGGGTGTGGGCATTGGCGCACTGGCACGGCCCCCCCCCCCACCCATAGTCCAGGGCAGCCGTCGCCGGAGCTCACCTTTCGTCCCCGCAGTGGCCAGTTGCTGCCCCCGGAGAGCGGCTGTCCTCCATTGTCGCTCGAGTAGACGAGCACCGAGTTGTTGTAGAGGCCACGGCGGTGCAGCGCCTCCGTGATGTTGTGCACTGCCTCATCCAGGCACGAGAGCATCCCCGCGTAGCGGCGCCGTGCCTGGTTCGCGATCCGCCGGTAGCGCTCCGTGTAGCGCGGCGGCGCCTGGGCGCGCAGACACACGCGAACGGACGCACCGACGCACGCACGCACCATGCACGCGCGACAACGAGAATGACGCCCGACCGCACACTGTGACGTTTTGCTGCGCGTGCTGGCAGCTGCTGTTTTTTGGAGTGAAAACGTTGCACCATCACACAGTGCAACCTGAAAATAAACACGTGCGCACACATCGGAAAGATGTCCCCCCCCCCCAGATTTGCGGCCTGGCACAGTGGCATGCCACCGGGCACCGGCTGCGGAACACGAGTGTGCAGGTGAGGACCACGAGACACTCGGCGGGGGTGGGTGGGTGAATGGGCGAGTGGGTGAATGGACGAGTGGGTGGGTGAATGGGCGAGTGGGTGGGTGGATTGGTGGGTGAATGGGCGAGTGGGTGGGTGGATTGGTGAGTGAATGCATGAGTGGGTGGATTGGTGGGTGAATGGGCGAGTGGATGGTTGGATTGGTGGGTGAATGGGCGAGTGGGTGGATGGGTGGGTGAATGGGCGAGTGGGTGGGTGGATTGTTGGGTGAATGGTCGAGTGGGTGGATTGGTGGGTGAATGGGCGAGTGGGTGGATTGGTGGGTGAATGGGCGAGTGGTGGATGGGTGGGTGAATGGGCGAGTGGGTGGGTGGATTGGTGATGGGCGAGTGGTGAATGAATGGGCGAGTGGGTGGGTGAATGGGCGAGCAGGCGGGTGAGCGGGCGGGCGAGCGAGCGGGCGAGCGGGCGAGCGGGCGGGCGGGCGAGCTGGCGGGGCGAGTCACCTGCAGGGGCGTGTGCACGGCCTGGAAGGCCACATAGAGGAAGAGCGGCCCATGCGCCGCGTCGTGCTCCTCCACAAGGCGCACAGCCCTCGCCGCGTACATCTCGGTCGAGTAGCGGCCCCCGTGTGCACGCGCCACGTGCTCGCCCACGCGCAAGTCCAGGCCGCACGCCGCGGGCCCGTCGCATGCCTCGTGCGTGAAGTGGTCGCCGCTGCCTGCCAGCGAGCCCAGGAAGGAGTCGAAGCCACGGCGCGTCGGCAGGCACTCGGGCCGGCAGAAGCCCAGGTGCCACTTTCCCACCATGTGCGTGGCGTAGCCCGCATCGCGCAGCCGCTCTGGCAGCGTGGGCAGGTGCAGCGGCAGGCAGCTGGGCTGGCGTGGCCGGATGATGGAGTGCTGCAGCCCCGTGTGGATCTGGTACCTGGAGGGAGGTGGGCCAGCGAGGGAGCGATCGGTTCTGCGTGTGGTGATGACCGCTATCACCACGGTCAGTTTTACACCGGCAGCAGTGTTCGCTACCCGGGCCAAGGACAAAAGTTTTGTTTTCTTTACATGTGTAAGAGATCTGCGAGCCACCCTCACGCACACGCACCATGCAGATATTAAATCTCCGCACTCAGTATAACACGGACCAATCACACGCACGGGAATACACTAGACGGGGGTCAAGTGTTAAAGGGCACTGACGTCACCCAGACCAGGCGTGCACGACGAGGATGTGATTTTGGAACGAGAGGCTGTGAGACGCGTGTTCGAGGTTGCTTTTGGAACGAGTGTTGCTGTGGGTTGAAGAATAAAGAAGTGCTTAACCAGTCTCCGGCTCCTCTTCATCTGGTGGCAGTAGTGTGGTGTCTCGCCTCAACCAACACAAGATCCCAAGGGGGGAGACACAGCTAGAAGACACTCTAGGTGCCCGGGACGAGATTTGCACCGAAACGAAACCGACGAGTCGGGATTCGTCTCCCAGTTCATCGACGAGAACCGTGGCAGCTGCTCGTCCTGTGTGGGCACCTTCCTCCACCAACCCGGCGGTGCAGACCCAGCGTCGCCGCTACCGCAGATCATCCTCTAGGGATCGGAAGATGGATCTGCTGCTGGAGGCAATCACCGTGCTGCTTAGCCGGCTGGGTCCTGAGGTCGGGGGGAACCTCAGCCGCACCACATCTCCAGCGAGGGGACGGGGGCCACGGTCAGCCTTCCCGACCAGGCACTCTGCAGCATCTCTCAGGGGATGGAGCAGCATCAGCGACGCCGCCGACCGTGCGTCCCACGCGGAACCTAGGAGAAAACTCTGGTCTGTCCTCCCGATATCATCCGACAGCAGTGGCTACCGGGGGCGAGATTCAGCCCGAAACTCAGCCGAGGCAGCCCGTTGAGGGAGGACCAGGATGGAGCCGCCAGCTGGGCGTGATACAGAGGTTCGCGACCAGATCGGGAGAATGGCGTGCTTTCGTCTGCCGGTTTGAGACGGCCGCCCGGTCAATGAGGTGGATGGAGGATCAAGCCCTGACGATGCTGCCCATTGTGTTGGACGACCCCGCACTGGCAGTGTTAGACCAGATTTCACCTGCAAAAAGAGGATCCCTGCAGGGTGTCTACAAGGAGATGGCGGAGGTGTTTGACCCCCCGTCCGGGGCGCGCCAGAAGTTTAAAAACCGCCAGCGTGAAGCATCCGAATCGCTCCTGGTCTTCGGGACGGAATTGTTGACGCTGGCAGAAGCCGCATTCCTGCGGCTCAATGAGCCGGGCCTGGACTCGCTGGTGGCAGAGCGGCTCCTTGCCATGGCACAGAAGGCGGGAGTGATGCTGCCGGTGGTGGAGGAGGAAGTCCGCACCTTGCCATGGGTTGCACGCCATCTCTGCTCTTACGAAGAAATGGCGTGACCCGCGCAGAGTGTGGCACACGTCGCATGGGATCACGGTGACGTAGAGGAGCTGCCATGAGCCCTAACCAGACACGCGCCGCTGGTGGAGGAGGACAAGGGAGGGACGGTGGTGGCCCTGCGGCAGTATCCAAGGATCCCGCGGGAAGCGGAGCGCCGACCCCGGCGCTGGGCACCTCACGAGGCAGGAGAGCATCCTCGGGTCATCGACGAAGTCATCTGCCATTGCCGGTAGCAGGACTAGTGTGCCGGGGATGACCAGCTGGGATCGTCAGCCTCGGTCCACAGCCGTTCCGACTCAGGCGAGTGCTGACACCTCGGACACCCGGCTGGAACCATCCACCCCAGGTTCACCCCATCACGCATCTCATTCCTCGGGGGCGGCGGCATAGGATTCCCGCTGATGGTCCAGTCCCGTGGCCGGACACGGTTAATACGTGGCATTGGCTGGCCAGAAGGGTGGTGGCGGCCACGGCTGGGACGTCCATGTTAGTAGGCTCGGTGGCAGGGGTTAGAGTCAGCGTGTTGGTTGACAAGGGTGCGTCGGCCAGCATCATATCCCTGCGTGTCTTTGACTTGTTACCGGAGGGACAGCGTCATCTCGCGCCAGTGCAGGCCAGGTACATAGGTCAAGTGATAGTGCTGGTCCGCATCGGGGAGCTGGAGGTACATGCTCCGGTACTGGTCTCCAGTTTGCTCACGGTTCCATGCTTGTTGGGCATGGACCTGTTGAGTCACATGTCTATTTGCATTCTGACAGACGAAGGCTGCGTCGAAACCCCATCGGAGGGGTCGCTTGTATTTCTTGCATCGAGACGGGGAACTGAAGCAGCTTCTGCGAGTTCAGGTGCTGGTCGGGACTACGGTCTCGATCCCGCCTGGTGCACAGGCTTTGGTGCCGCTCCGATATTGCACCCCGCTCGTCACTTTCCGGTCGGATGCACTGCTCATCGTCTCCGCAGTACCGTCGGTGGTGGGTCGCCATTGCCTAGCAGCAGCTGACACGCTCATGCGCAGGAATCAGCCACTGTTCCTGCAGGTCCTTAACATGGCTGACACACCCGTTACAATTCAGGAAGGGACATTGTTTGCAAATGTCAGTCCCATGCATTTGAACCCTGAGGGGCACACCATCAACAATGTGCAATTGGACAGCCCGTCAGTCATCGCAGAAGACATGTCATGGATAGACGCGCTCCTGGCACAGAACAGCGATCTGTCGGCAAGGGAATCGGGGGAACTCAGGACTTTGTTGAGTGACTTTGCAGACGTGTTCAGTCAGGGTCCCTATGATGTTGGTCGCACGACGCTGATGGAGCACCACATTGATACGGGCGATGCGCCACCCATTCGGCAGAACGCCTATAGGATGGGTCCTAGCGAGAGGGAGCATGTGCGGCGGGCAGTGCAGGAGATGATGGAGTCTGACATAATATCGCCATCTACGAGTCCGTGGGGGGCGCCGGTTGTATTGGTTAAGAAATCGGATGGATATTTGCGTTTTTGCATAGACTTCAGGTGGCTGAACAGTTATCTTGGCGGACATCTACCCGCTCCCACACATAGATGACTCATTGGATGCACTCGCAGGAGCAAACATTTTCTCCACCCTAGACATTTTGTCGGGATTCTGGCAGCTACCACTACATGCCGAATCCAGACCGAAAACGGCTTTCAGAGCGCCTCAAGGTCTCTTTCATTTCAACTGTTTGCCGATGGGTTTACAAACGGCTCCCGCCACTTTCCAGCAATTGATGGAGCTGGTACTTGCGGGATTGCAGTGGGAGTCGTGCCTCATCTGTCTCAATGATGTGATCATGTCTGCTCGCACATTCGAGGAACACTTAACCCGGTTGCGACAGATGTTTTCGAAAATTTGTGACGCGAAGCTCAAGTTAAAACCCTCAAAGTGCCGTCTGGTTTGCTCCTCCGTAAAATACTTGGGTCATGTTGTTAATGCGTCGGGGGTTGCGACAAAATGGCGTGTGTCCGTGATTGGCCAACACCCACGTCCATGCCTGAAGTCCGCAGATTCATGGGGTTTGTATCCTATTACTGCCATTTTGTAATCCCTTGCATGCGCTCACGGTGAAGGGGCCAGGCAGAGACCGACGCGTTCTTGACACTGCGCCTGCGGTTGACAGAAGCACCACCCATAGCATACCCCGATTTTTCGATTACCTTCCTGCTGGACACGGATGCGAGCGACGTGGGCATTGGGGCCGTTCTCTCCCAGATTCAGGAGGGGAGAGAGGTTATCATTGCCTACGGAAGTCGCGTCTTATCGCAGGCCGAGCAGCGGTATTGCGTTACGCGCCACGAGCTGCTTGCCGTCGTCCACTTTGCTCAGCAGTTTCGGCCCTACCTGTACGGCCGTGACTTCACTGTTCGGACGGATCATGCGGCATTACAGTACTGACTCCGCATTGACCAAGCGACCGGTCAGATGGCCCGATGGTTGGAGCGGCTGCAAGAGTACATGTATCGAGTGGTGCATCGGAAAGGAATCAGGCATACGAACGCCGATGCATTGTCCAGACTGGCAGCCCCCGTTAAGTGCGCCTGCGGCGACAGATCCGCGCACTGTAGGCGCAACCCGAGATCGTGGCGCCGGTTTTTGCCGGGGACACGGACCAGGCGGGGCCGTCGGTATCACTTGATAGCGACTTGGGGCTCACCCTGCGGAAATGGAGGGACCGGCAGCAGGCAGACGCGGTTTTGGCACCACTTCGCCGGCTGGCAGAGACGGCACGCGCTGACGATCTCCCCACATCACACGGATGATGGATCCCGTTTAGCCAGTTTCTCGGCGATTTTACAAGGGAGATCCGTGGTGCGTGAGTGCAGCAACAACAAAACAAAGACAAACGACATCAATAGGGTGCTGTGAAAAAGACGTCTGTGAAAAAGAGCTTCATAGCTCATCGGATTCCTACAGTAAAAATAAATATTCTGATTCTGAAGTAATGTTGCACAACTAACAAATAAGTAGTTGACATTCATAAATGAAATGCGTTCGAATAAAAAAAACTGTGCTAATGTAATACAAACAAGTAAGGTATGTTTGCAAGAAAGCTCTACACAGTATACGAGTCTTAACAGTGACATATCCACAGACAAATCGAAAAAGACAGCGCAAACATGTGGCAGCAAGAGGCTCCCAAAAAAAACATAGGTATATAGCTCTTGGAGGAAAATCCACACGATCACGGGAAGAACATGAAAACTTCAAATGTGCACGTGTCAGGGTCGGGATTGAACTCACAACCTCCTGTATACCAGGCAAAGTAGTTAAAATCTCGCGAATAACGAGGGTGAGTGAAAGAAGGGAACCAAACTATAGATGAATGTCAAGGGTATTCCAGAAACATGGAGCAGCGACGCGGAAATACGTTTTATCAAACAAAGTTGTAGACAATTGCCATTTTTAGTAGGAATAAAGACGCACTTCTTATGCTATGGGAGGGAGTTGAGGAACTTAGTGGTCCTTTAGGTAATTTGGCGAATTTGTTTAAGGATGACCTTCAGGATGAAAGCAACCCAATGATGGTCTCCGCAGATTAGTTTTTTGGACCCACCTCTAATGGGCCAATGAGATCGCACGGCTAAATCTCGCGAACACTACGCAACACGTTGCAAATCTAGAAACTAGTATACAGTTCGTTGCACAACTCATTTAAAAATAAATTAATACATTGCAGCCTATAGCCCGAATTTGGGCAGGTGTGTTTACAAATGCCTGGGCCGATTTTTAGTCCCATTCCGTCACTGCATGTGGGCAGGATTAACTACACTGAGTTGTTTCTGTATAAGAATCCAATTTTGGTGCTTATCTTGTTTACCATGTGGACAGTTTCGAGTCCAGGATAATGACTAAATATATACAGTTATCAACCTACTCAATGTGGGAGTCCAGAGCCACTGTGCATAGGTGGCGAAACAGCTTCGGAACAGCCAGAGAATAACACAACGTTGGCCTTTTAGTGTTGAGGAGCAGTTTTAGGGCATTAAGTTGTCGTAACTCAATGGAATTTACGGAGGCCATCAGGGCTGTGTCATCAACAAAATATGAATGTCAGTGTGCAGATTGGAGATTCCTAGATTGTTGATGTACAGAGAAAATACAGTGCCCCATAGACTTACACAGCGACCCATAGGCACACATAAACCCATAGACTCACATAGAGACCTATAGCCTCACACAGTGACCCATAGACACGCAGAGACCCACAGACTAACACAGTGAACCACAGCCTGACACATAGACCCAAAGACTTATACATAGACCCACTGACAAACTCAGAAACCCATAGACTCACACAGAGACCCACATACTCACACAGAGACCCATAGACTCAGTATTTCTCTGTTGTTGTTGTTGTTGTTTTCCTCGCACTTTTTGTTTATAGGTGGCGTTGTGTCGCCACTTTGTAAGGGTTTAGCCAGAGATCAATCGATTTAATTTTTGGTCCGCGTTTTGGGCCACTGAGAAAATGGGAGACGTCTTCTGGCGTTGCTTGGCACAAAGTGCAGCAGTTTGGGGTGTTTGGGTCGATTCGATTTTGGTAATCGGCTAACATAGAGCAGCAGTAACCTGAACGGAGTTGAGCCAGTTTTGTGCGAGTTGCCCGGGTCAGGGATTTTTCGTCGTCTGCTATGGATAGGGGCCAACCCCCTAGCACGACATTGGGCTTGTGGGTGTTCAGGCAGTGCATGGTGGCAGCGGTGTGCAAGTGGTTCAAAATGTATTTGGTGGTGCTATTTGGTGGAAAGCGTTTAAAGTAGATTGTACATTGGCAGAGCTGAAGGAAAGCAAGGTGGATTTCATTTTCTTAGCAGGTGCAGGGGCTTTGCGTAGTTTTGTGCAAGGATGCGTTGTCGAGTGGCATGAAGCCAGATATTGATCAGTGAGAAGCTTGCAGTGTTCTTGAATCATAAGAACTTTGGTTTCTTGGTGGAGATGGTCAATGGGCGCCATGAGGTGGCATCCTGTGGCGAGGCAAAGTGCTTGGTTTTGGGCGGTTTGGAGCTTTTGGTAACCTGTAGAGAAGAAGTTTGGGCACCAAATGGGACCGGAATAATTGGTGATGGGACGTCCAATGGCTTTGTAGGTTAGGAGTAAAGTCTCCTTTTGTTGATCCAAAGATGTGCCGGCTAAAGCTCATGAGATGTTATTTCGTTTGTTAACTTTTGCATGGACGTTTCTGCCGTGTTGAGCGAAGTTGAACATGGTGTCAAAGGTTACACCTATAATTTTTGGGGTTTTAGCTAGTGGGAGGCGTTGGTAGTCTATTATGACGTTGGGATGTAAGTTGGCTTGATGAGGAGCAGGTGTGAAAAGGGTGATTGTTGATATTTCTCTGTGAATGCCACAAACGTACGGAATCACAGCGCTTCACACCTGCCCGTGGTTCCTCTCCCATCAACATCTCAATGCGATGCTGAGCTGTCGATTGTTCATGACAGCTTCACTTGCATTTGATCGTCATATACCCTTGTCAGTTTCCATATTCGTAAAATGATGACCCTGTATCTGTTCAATGTTTGTGCAAGCTAATTTAGCAATTGTGCTCAAAGTAATCTGCGCGAGCTGACTCGCGCGCCAGGGAATTTATAACAAGAAATAACTATTGATGTTTGTGCGATATTTTAAATTCTTCATATGACGGAGATTTCTTTGTATATATTTCTATTTGATCTTCATTGCTCTACTGTACTTGTGTTGCTTTTGTTGTTTCGGTGACACATGCCACTCTTAAAATAAGTCTCTTGAAATCCCACCTGATAAAACAAAAACCCGTAAACATATGAAGGTTATACCATACAGGTGAGTATAGTGCAGGTGAGGTGGTTACAGGGATATAACAGCTGACGTATATTAGTTGAGTCTACACACCTACAGGTGCGTTCAATACGGCAGTTGCTCAATCTCGAGTCACTGACGCCCAACTCACACGGAGGCCGGGCTTGCACAGGTGAGCACGCCTCATCCAGGTGAGCTTCACTGCCACCGCACATTTGCTCGAGATCTCACTGTGACCCGACACAGATGCCCCATTCCAGCCGTGGTCTTAAGACGACACTGTGACGCTACTTCGGCAGTGCGGTATGCGAAAACGCGCCTAAAAGCCTAACGCATTCCTCAAAAACACTGTCCCTCCAATGAAAGATATATATTCTGCGGCAATAAAATATGTATATTCTTCATAACACATAGCTGCTGCTGCAATCATCAACACGTTGAGTTGCCTGTGAACGCCAGACGCTCCGCGTGCATTCCTACCGACGTGGCGGCGGCGCGCCATGCGGGCGCCCCCATGCACGGGCGCACCCCAAACACGCGCTCTCCCAACTGCACATCCCTCCAATCCTTCAGCCGCGAGACTCGTCCATCCCCCACGGACCGGGATATGAAGGCGAGAGACGTTACACCCAAGACACTTCACACTTCATTGGCGTATCACCTCAGAGACGTTACACCTGAAATACTTTACACCTGAGAGGGGTAACACCTGAGAGACGTTGCGCCTGAGAGACTTTACACCTGAGAGGCGTTGCGCCTGAGAGGCTGTGCACCTGATAGACGCTGCACCTGAGAGATGTTGCATCTGAGAGATGTCACATCTGAGCAAATTTTAACCTGAGAGACGTTAACGTCACACACGCGACGCGCGTGTGACGTCACACGCGAGAAGTTACCCACGGGACGCTACACGGGACACCACACGGGCGTCACTTTACGCGTGGCCCACAGCCACGAGGGACGGATCGCTCCCGGCGGCTGGACCGGCCGGCGGTACCTGCCGCTGAGCAGCTGGCTGCGGGTCGGCGTGCACACGGGCTGCACGTAGTAGTTCTCCAGGCGCACGCCCTGCGCCGAGAGGCGGTCGAGCGCCCGCGTGCGGATCTCGGCGCCGTGGTAGCCCACGTCGTGGTAGCCCTGGTCATCCGCCAGGATGAACACGATGTGCGGCCGCGGAGTCGAGCTCCTTGGGTTGGCAAGAGCGGGTCCCCGACTGCGAGCCGGGACCCCCGCGGAGGATGGGGAGTAGGAGGAGGATGTGTTGGTCGATGTGCAGGATGTTGAGGAGGCGTTGGTGGAGGTGGTGTTGGTGGCGCAGGAGTTTGAGGTAGAGTACGAGGTGCTGTTGGGGATGGCGGTGATGGTGTTGATGTCATCTCGCTCGGCGGTGGCGTTGGCTCCGTGCTGCAGACTCAAGGAGTCTCCCACGAGGGGCCGCACCATGTTCCACGAGAGGTAGCCCAGGGTCACGAGGCTGACCAGAGAGATGGCCGTCACGGTGTGAACCATCGCGGCCCCAGTCGCGTCCCCTGGGCGCTCCTCCGCTCGGAACTCTGCCGGGCAACAGCCGCGAGCCCCGCGACCGCGTCTGGGCGCGGCGCGTCGTCCCTTGTCTCCTCTTCCGACACGTCCTCTGTCGCGTGCGCTCCTCTGCGCGCACGACGGTGATGATGAACCGCTTGCTGCTGCAGTGTTTTATTGCCGGCGGTCCATTCCCGTGAAAGCCGCGGCGACTGCTGTTGCCGCGCGTCGCTCGCTCGCAGCGCGCGGTTAATTCAGTTCCACGCGAGGTCGTGGGAAAAAAAAGGGGGTATAAAAACAAAACAAGTTGCAGCGACAGCAGCCAATGGGGAACCCCTCGCTCGTGGCCGCGGGGAGCGCGCTTCGCCGCCTCCTTCACCGGACTGCGTGGCCGCGCGCGCGCCCCTGCTGCCTTCCCATCCCCGACGACGATGGCGACAATGGTGGTGAAGATGATTTATAGAAATGCTGAAGCCCCTTCCCCCCCTCTCGATGGTGATGATGATAATTATGGTGTTCAATCTGAAGAATGTGCAGGTGCTGAGAACGACCCTGCGGCTAGAGATGATTAATTGCAGGCAGATGATTGATGGCACGCAGTGACGCTGCAGCTGATGATGATGTCGCTGATGATGCGGTGGCCTCAAGGTGCACATAGCCTGGCACAAGCGTCGTAGTGACGTCACCGCCACTTAGCGGCGAATGGCGGTTGTTGTTGTTGGTGTCGCCGCAGCGCGTGTTCCTCGGCGCTGTGCGCGCAGTGGCGTCTCCGTGCTCACTGCGAGCTGAGACCCCAAAACTCCTCCGCCCCCCACCGTCCGTTTGGGGCCCATGGCCAGGAAAGCGATGTTATCCCCGCTCTCTCCCTCCCTCCTTCCTTCACCTCCCTCCCCTCTTCCCTTCCCGGTCTCCCTTCTTACTTCCTCTCTGCCTCCCTCCCCTCATTCTCCCCAATTCCCTCCCTCCCTCCCTGAAAGGCGCTGCTGCTGCCCGAGAGCGCAGCGCGGATATTTACTCTCTCCGCTCTCCGATGCTTGACTGAGTAGGGTCCGTCCTCCAGGGAACTCCCACGAGCTCTGACTGCCCCGTGCGCTGTGCCTCGGCCTCCCGGGGCCCCGTGCCTCGGCCTCCCGGGGCCCCGTGCCTTCTCCGTCTTCCCTCAAGCAACCGCGCCCAAACCGCCACTGGGGGGTCCCGTACCCCCCCCATCTTCTCCATGGACGGGTTAAGCCTCCAGGGAATGTTGCGATGGCGGTTGTGTTGTTGGGGTCCGATTTGGGGTCCACGCATCCTTGCAGGGAGCACGCGAGGCCTCGTGCGTGGCTGTGTGCGTGCGTTATGGGGAGCGGTGGTGCTGCGGTTTGCGCACTGCGCTCCGAACCCGGCGACCCAAGTTCGGTTCCCGTTCACGGTCAACACCAGTGACGAATGTCTCAACCCGCTCTGGGCCTCCTCGACGTCAACGCGACTTCATACGAGTACCCGGTATCAGGAGTAAGCCGTTCCGACCTTTACAGGTGCTCGTTAACAGCACTTGCCCCAACAGTCTATTGAAGGCTACACGGGGGATCTTTGTCTTTGTAGTGTAGGCCGCTCAGCCTCTCTCATTCCCGGCATGTCTCCGTGTCCCCGTTTCCACTCTCACCTCGCCACCTCCACATCTGTGAGACCGCTCGACCGCGCGCGTTACGCGATCACGCCGACACGCCCCCAACTCTCTCTGTCGATCACACAAAGCAACACACCTCTATCCGTTCAACAATGATAACCAGCCAGGATCAATCCATTGCTGAATATATTATGTAAAATTATATTAATTTCATCTTAGAATAATATCCAGGAAAGCCACACTGAGCCTTAGGACTTTGTTTCCGGAGTGTCCTACATTGTCTTTTTAAAACGTAATTTTAGATGTTTTCAGCCAATTCCAGATGAGTGTTTATTATACACGTGGGAAGAAACTGGAGCACCCGGGGAAAACCTACGCGCGCGAGGGGGCAACACTCTATCCTCGTACAGATTGAAACAGGTGGCGATAAATCAACGTGCTCTACCGCCTTTTCCTGGCGAGCCAGGGCACGCAACCCGCTCGACACCCACGGGAAGGGAGTTTCACACCATCTGCGCGTGAACCACCAACCCTCGCTGCTGCTTTCACGGCGCAAGGTTACAGGCCACGTGCATAGCCACCACCGCACCGGATGAAAGCCTTCTCCAAAGCCATCACTCTCCCTCACGGTCCTCCAGCGTTAGCATTCATCTCGCTTCTCCGTCTCCGCGATGGCCGAACTCTATCTCTCTCTCTCTCTCTGGTGCGTTCTCTCCTTTGTCTGCTGCTCCCTTGCGAGTCTCGACCACGGTCTACTGTCCCTGCCCAAGCCCCCTCCCTCCTTTAAGCAGTCCCCCATGGGGCTGAACCGGCACACAGAAGGCATCTGCTCACACGCTCTCCCACTCGCCCACTCTACTCCCCTGCTCCTCGAAGAGTTAAATGCGGCTCTTTGGTTGCCACGTTGCGGGCAGCCGTTTAAAAAAAATCTTAAACGTAATTTAACGTAAATATAATTGATTCAATATATCAGGGAATGGATCACTATGGAATGTCTTAGTGACAATAAAATGTGCAGTTAAACTGTAGAATAAGGGGGGAAACTAAATAGACGCCGTTTATTCCATCACATTTGTTGTTTATTTAAGTCAGAATGTGTGTTATTATCTTGCTGTATACCCACTGCTGTGTTTGTGTACAAGTAGCTCTGTGTGTGATGCGGCTCTCGAAATATATTTGGTCAAAGACAAAACTCCAAAAATGGCTTTCCTTCTTTGATAGGTTGACAAACCCTGCGCTAATCTCTCACCCTGCACGTCCTCTCCGCTCTCTCCCCTACACCCCCCCCCCCTTGCAGCCATCGGGGCCGCGAGCCCTCACTGCCCGCTCCCATCGTCCCTCATCCTCTCCTGCACAACACCGCAACCTCGTGGGCATCTACTGCTGATTCTCACCGTGTCCTCCTCCTCTTCCTCATCCCACTTTCCACCATCTCACGCTCTCTCCTCTCTCTCTTACGACGACGCCAAGATTAAATGTGAACCAGATGGGTTGTGTATGGCACAGGAGTCGTGCGCGTGTGCGTGTCTGCGTTATGGGAAGTGGATAGCGTGCTGCACTACGAACCCCGGCCGCCTGAGTTAAACTAAACTAAAACTAGTTTTATTTTACCAGGTAAGGCCCACTGAGCTATTAAGCTCTTTTTTCAGAAGCGACCTGGCCACAAATGATAGCTCAATGAAGGGGAAATATATAGCAGCCACATACTCTGAACGCATATTTCTCAATGTGGAGGGAAAACTCGGAGTGCCCAGAGATACATCTTGCTGTAGATGTTGAATTGAGGTTGGGAATTGAACTCGACTAACATAGCTTGTGGTGCAATGCGCTACCGCTACAAAGACAAAGATCCCTCAAGTGATGTTAGCGGAATGGCACACGAGGAGATGGGTGGCCAGTACCACGCCCGGCCGCCTTTGTCTCCCTAGTGGCGATGTTTACACCGTACTAGGTACACATTTGAAGTTGAGTCAACCTAGGGGAGGCCCAGGACTGGTTGAAATAATTGTCACTGATGTTGGCCTCCTCAGTCCTCACCGACTCGCTCTCGCAATCAGCCCCGCGATTCCTGATGCAACGTTTGTCTCGGGTGGCAGTGGGGAAGAAAAGAAACGCCCCGCTCTCAGCAACCGAACTACCACGTTATTCAGATCTCCCCCCGGCCTCACTCGGAACGCCGCGGCGCCCTCGCCAGGGGAGCTCTGATCAGAGGAGCCTTCTCACACGGATTGAATTCACGCACATAACGCCGGGCGGGCGGTATGGGGCGGTTGGGGTCCGTTGGGGGTATATCCGCAATAGCTTCTAGCGGTAGTTCATTCGCGAGGAAGGCTGGTTTGTTCATCTTTTGATGTCACCGTTTAACGGCCCGGCTCAGTCGGGGCGAGCCGGTGGCTCCTCGCTCGCTCCTCTCGCTTGGCCGCGTCGGGGCTCGGTGAGAAACAGGCGGAGTGTTGTTCCTGCCTCGGTTTTGTTCTTTTTTTTCCGTGATAATAAAACACACAAACACCCTCCCTCTCTCCACTCTTAACAGCGGTGACTTTCACCGTGAGGTTTGGCTCAGGAAAAATCTCACCGAGACCCAAATGTAAGCACCGCATTGTCCGTGATGCCCTCCTCTCACTGGATGCCTTGGTGGTAAACGAATGCTTAAACGACGAGTCTTACCCAAAAACAACAACAGTCCAACTTGAACGTAGGAGCAAATTTGAGTAATGCCTGGAAAAAAACTCCACATGCACGGGAAGAGTCGCACACCCCTACAAGGCTGACTTCCAGAATCCGAATTGCTGTTCTGTGTACAAATCTCACTTTCTGTACTGCGTCAGAATCCTACTTGCTGTACAGCCACGTGACTGAACACATAATTGACAACAGTGAACAGGTCAAGGTGCAAACGAGCCATGCAGCTGGCTCACGACACTTCGATTCAAGCTGAAGGCCAACACCAGTGACGATTATATCATCTGAACCGGTCCTGGGCCTCCTTTAAGCCGACGCAATCTCAAATGAGTACCCGGTGCGGTGTGTAAACATCCCTACTAGGAAGACAAAGGCGGCCGGGTGTGGTGCTGACCACCTACCCCCTCGTGTGCCACGCCTTGAGACATTAGTGTATGGCGTCTTACAAATACATTATCATTATGTAATGCGAGCAAGGATTGAGGGGGGGCGGAGTCTGGGTCACGTGGGGAGTGGGTGGAGTTAGGGTCACGTGGGGGAGAGGATTTAGGGGGAGAACCGGAAGGGGAAGAGAGAGTTGAGACGAAGTGAAACACGAGGAGGCCACGCTGGGCAAGACGCAGAGAGTGGCGCGGTCGCCACGCGGTGGGAGACGTCGACACCGACAGCCATCGGTGTCAGACGGAGAGAGCTAATGGGGCAGTGAGAGGCTAGCTGTGAAAGGGGCAGCAGTGACGCTAGACAGCGGGGCAGCGGTGTGGCTGCAAGGATTGCCTGACGGAGCAGCAGGGAGACTGCATATTGGAGCAGCAGGGAGACTGCATAATGGAGCAGCCGAGGGCTGTGGAGAGGTCGTCGAGCGGGACGCGGGCCTGTGCGAGACGCCGTGGTGTCGAGATTCTACGAACCCAATAAAGGACAACGGAGATCGACATCTGAGAGAGAGTCCTTTATTACAATTACATTATTATTAGCGGTGCTATTTGCTAACAGCACTTGGCCCAAAAGTCGGTTATAGCTATACGGGGGATCTTTGTTTGTGTCAATGAACTGTATAGATCAGTGTTCTCCACACATTTTCAGAGGGGGCGGCCACTTTCGCTGATAAGACTCATCAGTGTGAGGGCCACCACACATTTGAAACCATTGTTGGGATTTGACAGCAGCATGACGATGATGATGGGGGGTGTTGTCACGTGTTTTGCTGCACGTCAGGGACCGCACTAAAGGCCGGCAGGGGCCGCCAGTGGCCTGCAGGCCTTGCAACAAAGAACACTTCTACCGAGCGCAATTGGCCAACTCTTCCATGGGCCGCTTGCCGCATGACTGAATTCCCTCGGGATGCCTCCCACGCTTCCGACAACCGCTCAAGGGTAAGATGTATAAGGCCCGGTATAGCAACCTTCTTATCCGGCTCCATATTAATTGGACTTCTTTGGGGAAGGGGGGGGGGTCCCGTTCCCTCCCGTACATAAGAAAAAACCGTGAAAACCCGGTAGAAGCGTTAGGGGACTGCGCCTCGTTAACTTGCTGACA